CAACAACTACAATTTTCTTAGTATCATGCCAGGTTACCAAATCCTTTTTTTCGGTACCATCCTGACAAAGCACAATGTTGAAGTGTGAAAACAAAATATCGAACAACAAAAGAATTTTGTAATTAATATATATTTCTTATCCTGTTGTCATTCATGTTTTATCACTCGTGTAGGTTCTGTATTTGACCCATTGAAAACAAAACCATATACAAGTTGGGCTGGAGTCTAGGGGAAATGCATATAGGTTGTATTCTCTATGATAAAATAAAAACACATATTCATTTGGTTAATATGATAATCACTTTTCTTGCTCACAAGAATTATTTTTTAGGTACATTAATGAAACAAAGCAGCACAAAAGATTGTAGGGTAGTGTACATTTTCTTAGTGACGAAAGGAATAGTATTTTTTACTAGGTATGCATGTTTATTCCCTCGGAATTTATGCACATTATTGATATCCATGTATTTGAGCATCATGATCACATTTCATCATCAAGTCATTGATCAAATAACCTTCAAGGTTTATTTCTAAAGGAAGATTTCCATGTACTTTGGATGAAGTGGTGCTTGCTTACAACATCTTATGATCTTATTATGAATCTTATTTTTATTCAATGCTCTTGCTCAAATTTGCTGTACTTTAATTTCTGAGCAGATGTGAATGAATGCACTGATGGAAGCCATACGTGTGATAATACAAGTGTTTGTATGAACACAGTAGGAAGCTTCAACTGAATGTGTAATCCTGGCTATGAACATCCAACTGGTAGCACAACAATATGTAATGGTAGGACAATTTGAACAGTTAAAGGTTTTGGGTGCATTGGTTGTGAAATAAACTATTTAGTTGTAGAATGAGTGGTATATAGGTTTATTATTATTTATTCAGTTAGCTGACATTAATGTGGCCCTTCCAAAATTACTTAAAGAACTTTCAGTCACTACACAAAATATGAGGAGGCCCTTGTCAGTCCCAAATTATCTTTATCCTTTTGATGGTGAAGTGTTAGATTTATCTTGAAATTAGGTTGTGTTATTAAAGTAGAGATCATGCATAATGTGTTCCAGGTCATATAAAAGTCAAAGGTCATACAGGTCAACCCCCTGACTAATTTTGTTAAGGAAAATTCAATTTTGCATGATTTAATTAGACTTGTATCCTATCCTGTAATCTTGTTTATTTAAAAGAAGACATCATTACATTTTGAGATAGGGTGTTAATGTCAAAGGTCATGTTAATTTCATCAACAGGTCATAGATCAAATAACCTTCAAGTTTTTATTTTCATGTACTTTGGATGAAGTGGTGCTTGCTTAATACATCTAATGATCTGATTATGAATCTTATTTTCTTTCAATGCTCTTGCTCAAAATTTGCTGTACTTTAATTTCTGAGCAGATGTGGATGAATGCACTGATGGAACCCATACCTGTGATAATACAAAAAGTGTTTGTATGAACACAGTAGGAAGCTTCACCTGCACTTGTAATAATGGCTATCAACATCCAATTGACAGCACAACATTATGTAATGGTAGGACAATTTGAACAGTTGTAGGTTTTGGGCGCATTGGTTGAGAAATAAACTATTTAGTTGTACAATATAAAGCAACTGTAAAACGAAAGATTCCATTTCCATCAGCACCAGTGCTATGAGAAAACCATGAATGCACCCACCCCATGCAACCTTTGGATCTGTCATTTCTTTATACCGGTAATGGTGTTCCATGTACATTTGTAGCTGGTTTCATGTTGTATCTGGAAATACCATTATGTATTGATCTGCAGCAAAATTCATATGACATGTATATCGGTACACATATGGTTCGCTTTTGCAGTACAAGAAAATAAAGATATTCCTTCTACAGTATGCTGTATTGTATCTCTTCCTTTCTTGCTATTTTCCTTTTGTCAGTCATCTGTGTGGCTTTTTGTGTATTATGTACCCTGTCTATATATATATATATATAGGCTAAGCAAAGGAAATGGTTAACAGTGACCACTGCATTCAGATATCAACTCCAGCCAGGTTTCACAGTATCTGAGCTCTCATCGGGAAGCAAGGAAAATGACCACTATATGTGGACAGACTACATCTGTCTAGAGGTGGCCGCTAAAATAGATTTGCTTGGATTGTAAAAAATCTGAATCATATGCAATGTAAACTGTAGAAATCTACAAATTATGTGTACCAGTACCACTTGCGTTTTGGGAATTACATTGGAGCAGCTGGAATGTATACAATTGTATTTATGCATGTATATATAGTTAACAACTACATTATTCCTACCCTTACCAAGTTATGTAATTTTTTAGGTATGTGAGGGTTTTTTTTAAGCTTACAATCAAAAGTATTTAACAAAATAAGCCCTAATCCTCCAGTCCTCCGTGCATTTTTGAAAAACAGACAAAACATCAAATTTACAAAGGGTTTGAATAATTTTGATGTTAACTGTACATGTAAGCAAAGCCCTCTAACACAGATGTTGATCATTTTATTCTCATCGATTCAGAGCAGACATTTTCCTATTCACTGGTGTATAACAGATTGCCCTTTTTTGCAGGCTAAAGGAGGTATCCTAGTTCTGAGTTTGAGTTTGAGTTTGAGTTTGGTCGTTTGAGGTTCCACAAATTCAAGGGCTTTTACTTTCATTCATATAAATGGTTGCTCAATAGATATATATATCTATCTTTAAATTAAAGGTGGTTATCAACTAATGGTGTGCATCATTCTATAGGTCATTACTAACCAGATTTCAGATGACATTACTGATTCTCCTTTTCAATTGGAGCCAGCATATTAAAGCCACCCTATGAAAGCGACCCTGACACTGGCACAAATGTTGTCCCCGCAATGCCACGCAGTACGTCATGCCAATGATTAAAGTCTTTGTGAACGAGCGTGAGGAGTGTGTAAAGGGTGCGGGGGTGCCTGCCATGTTGTAGAGAGAGTTTTGAAATGTTCAAAAATTTGGCACGCATCAACTTTGGTACCATGTGCGTGCAAATCGTAAACACTGTGCGAGTTCGGCGCGAAACTTAGCCTCTTGTCGATGCCCTCGCGCTGTTGGAGTCTCTAAATTCTGACGAGCGAAGCGAGTCAGAGAAACCGAGGCGCTTGCGCGGAGGGCCTCTTGACAAGTGATCTGAATTTCTTATGTTTTACTTTGTTTGGCGAATATTCCGACCCAACAGAGTTCAAGTTCAAGTTCAAGTTCAAGTTTATTCAAACCAATCAAACACAACATTTTACAATCAATTGACACAAAAGAAATAAAAAACATGATAGGTTAAAGTCATCCATTCGGTGAAAGTCATCCAATCAGAGAGAGCTACTATGACGTAATATCTACCGCTCTGTGCGAATTCCCTCCGTGAGAGCGAGACTGGCCGCCTAGTAGTAGTCTGCAAGCACAGACCCTGGTCAGTCGTAAAAGAGAGTGTGCACTATAAGACTACCATATGCCACGTACTATAGCTGCTCCTGACCTATATTGGTACAACCAGTAGGTACCAGTAGATAGCTGGGCTAGGCTTCTCTCAATGCACAATGATTTTTTGATAAAGTGTCAAATTAGGGTCTGTGCTTGCAGACTAGCCTAGTTGGGCAATCCCGAACACACACGTACACACACACAATCGCTGCGGTCTAGACATGCATAATTCAGTAGGAAATCGGGTCTCATGAATATATAATTCAGATCACTTGTCAAGAGGCCCTCCGCGCAAGCGCCTCGGTTTCTCCATTCTCTGACTCGCTTCGCCCGTCAGAATTTAGAGACTCCAACAGCGCGAGGGCATCGACAAGAGGCTACGCGAAACTCTGCCTGCAGTGCGTGTCAATGCGTGCCATGGGAATCGAGTACCGGTACTCTACTATGCGTGAACAATACTTACATATGCATATAAAACAAGTAGTGCCATTGCGTGTCAATGTGTGCCGATGCAGCCCATTTTGGCCGTGAATTGCGTAGACAGTGCAAAACTTGCGTGTACAGTGCGCAAACAGGCTATGTTGCCACGCCACATTGCGTGTCATTGTGGGACAAAATTTGTGCCAGTGTCGTGGTGGCACTAAGACTCGTAGCACTACATTCCTGAATAATCAGTATATATTTGTGTATATGTACATGCCTTAATTTTTCTTTTTTGGGGGAAAATTCTCAGTGTTCTTTCTTTCCTGTATTTCTAACGCATTTAACCTATTGCCTTCTGGAAAAATGAGCCATGTATTAAGCATATGGGAAAAAAGAGATTTCAGGAATCAATGGATTTTTTTTTGTCTACAGTTACGTGTGGTTAAAGACTATATTTCTGCAGGTCATCCTTTTTTTTCATCGTGTTCTTTACAGCAGGATGTTAGCAGAAATTAAATTACCAAATGAATATACCTTGTCAATGCCCTTTGCTGGGGGATTGGTGGTTCATACCTATATCAAATAGCTCTGGGCTGGGTCAAAGGTCATTGATAAGCTATAATATGATACATAGTAAAACCTTCGGTAGCAACCACTTGTATAGAGTACCAAAGTGTGACATCATACAGAGTTGTCAAGGTTGCAGGTTCCAAACAATTTTGTGCTTAACAGTGGTGTGGTGGTCACACCAGCGCCAAACACTGCTCCATGCAGCCCATAGCTTGAATTATTTTGTAGTGAACCTCATGCTCAGGCTCTGTAGTTTGGAATCAGTATAACCTAGATGATGATGAGCAAATAGGACATTAGCACTTCGGTAAAAGGTGACCCATTGGTTTCCATAATTTCTCTTTGAAAACTGCATTTAAGGTACCTATGTAGAAATATCACCTGCATATAAACTATATCTTCTTGTTTCCCCTGCGCAGTTTATACACACTGTAAGTCCAGGGCCCTATTGCATAAAACTTACCATTATTTGTAATTTTGCCATTGATATTAATTACCTTGACAACATCACTAAACAGCCAATCAAATAAAAGTTTCCATGGGAGGTTACCATCAATGGGAAGTTTTATGCAATGCCAACAAGATCCGGTTCAGATATTAAGTCAAAGCTGGCTTGTTTCTATCAGATTTGTCAGTTAAAACTTGGCAGTGGGCACCAGGCCTCTAATATAGATTTTGTGGGAACAATCGAGAAATATTATTTATCTAGTTTATAATACCTTGTGTTATTCTTGCAGATATAAACGAGTGTTTACGGACCGATGCTGACTACCCTTGTGATGCAGACAATGGCGATTGTACAAACACGCTTGGAAGCTACATGTGCACCTGCAATCCTGGATTCGAGACTGATTCATCAGACCCCTCAGCTTGTTCTAGTATGAGATTTTGATACCAAATTTTGATATATACATCCGTTTGTGTGAAATGTATCTGAATGTTAATTAAAGAAAATAGCTAGAAGGGAATTATAACAGCTTAATAAAAGGCAGCAGGAGATTACTCTCATATTTAAATATCAGCTATCTGCCCCAGGTATTGATATGATAGTTTTATTTCAATATATTTTTCTTTGTATTTGATATGCTGATATTGTGATTGATATGCATTTTGCTTATATTGACTTTACATACATATACAGGAAGGTATGTGCATGTGTCTACTGATGTTTGTTGTCTGCATTTGTTACGGCCGTTTTCAGATATCAGTGCAAACAATGTTACCCTTTGCCTGTGGCCTTTCCTAACGAAGGGACCTGTACGAATATGATTAATGGTTTATACCTGCGTTTGTGTCCCTAGATATTGAGGAATGAACTTTGAAAATACTATTGAACATGCCTCAGTGTTCAGGATACGAATGTATATACATAGATTTAATCACGAGAAACATGACATGGATTAAGATGGCCTTGAGTAGGATACATGGGAATATCCAATGAGCTGATGAGCATATACTACAAGTTGTCACGACGAGTGAAACGTTGTCAAAACGAGTGTGATATAGTCTTGTATGTCACACAATAAATGCCATTCAATTCTGTGGTTTCTAATACCTCGATTTGGGTAACTAATATGACCGTATGTTTATTTGTAAATTAACTTCCAACATTAGAAACAGAGAGGAAAAAACCCTTCTATTGATTGATTTCCATGTGTTTTTCTGTGTATATCCTTTAAAGTTGATACACTAAGCAAATAAATGTCCCTTAATTTGTTACCTACGGCAAGTATATGTTATTTTTAAGTTTTTCAATTACTTAGTATATCACAAAAAAATTCTGTCTACTCGAAATCCTCAATTGAAATGTCGAAAATATCCGCCTCTCTTTGCATAGAAAATCAGTCACGGCGCTGGTCTACTATTTATGACCTCACGTCCGGGAAAGAGTATATTCACGTACCCGGATGTTCCATAGCAAACATGTGCAAATGAGAGTGATACGATTTTCTGCATATTTTTGTTTCAAAGGCTGAAAAGTCTAATAAATCATAATTCTATGTACAATTCTTTACCTTCCCCTAGTACTTCATAGTATTAATATCAATTCCCCTTTTAAAAATTATGACATATACATGCCAACGATGTGCTATTAGTCGATATTTTCACCATGTAATTTTTGTTTTGGTGTTGAAATCGGCCCAGGCACGGAGTGAACAGTAGCTGTCTACCCATGCACAGTACTGTTCATTACCATATACTACAGCGATCTCCCGATGGTTTCTTCTTCCTTTTCCCCATGTTTTCCGCCTTCCTTGGCCCTGAAGATCCTTCATCTACCAATTCTGACACCGGTAGTAAGGAGCAAGTCTTTGTTGGTTGTTTTTCTTAGCTGGCAACGTCGCTTTCATTCTCTTGCAATTGCCGATAAACATATAACTAGCGCACGTACGTTCCATCACAAGCAAGCAGCGCCTAGAGCAGCGGCTTGGTCTTACCTCCCGATTCTGCTCGCTTCACGAACGTTCATGCAAGAGCCGCATCACTCGCCAAAATATTATAGAGGAAGCGCGCTTGCATGATCTCGTTCAAGTTTGATATTTTACAACATAAAATGTTTAACTGGTACTGTATCCTTTTTCGAGGCAGTCACACACATCTATGATAAGTACTATCATAGTTCTAGACCTATTCGTTTTACAAAACTGCTCCTGTACCTTATCTGATGACAATATATAATGCATCCGCCTATATATTCATACATGCACGATTTAACTTTAATTCCTAAGCAGTAAACTAGTCTTAAATCTCTACCAAATAGGTGAATATGAGGATATAAAAAGAAATCAGCGACTGGAAAATGTTGCTTCGTATTTCTTCATTCAAATGAAAACAGAAAATCCATCAAATATACTCCTTAACAACAACAAATCTAAGCTCTGACAGGATAGCATTTACGTAGGGATATCACTGCCATTCACTCTCACTGAGCCCATGAGTCCCGTTCGTGACGTCACGGATTGAGGCCCGACTCTACGTGCACTTCCGGGTTTCAGACTTAGATATTTTGGTAGAGTTTACTCGAATAGATTCATTATTCTAAACTTGTTTTGTCGGGTGGACACCATTTGGTGTTATTATGGGGGTTAAAAGCTTTCTATTTATGTAATTATCTCAGTATTTGGGATTGTCTTAGAGTATCAACTTTAACAAAAAATTGAAAGTTTTCAAACCTTGTAAGCTCATTGCTGTGCAATACATGGGTACTACAAACTTTCTTACATTCACTGGTATGATACACTTTTGAAGAAAACATCCATTCTGAAAACCTGGCTTAACCCTATATAGCCCAGGCTATTTTGAAACTGCATAGCCCGGGGGGGGGCTTCTAAGGCCCCCCCCCCTTTGATCTCGGCCTCGAAACGACCGAGCGCCGCGAAAATTTGCATACATGTCCAGTGAAGTGTATAGGATACTATGGTAATTTAAATTTTTTGAAAAATTCACTTATTTGCATATTTATAGTAATTTAGGCAAATAAGGTCATAAAATTCACATTTTTGCCCATAAATCAGACATTATTCATATTTAAGCATTCTTTTTCACTACATAAATTTGTTAGACCCCGTTCTCACTCACTTCGTTGGAGCGCTCTGGAGCGCTCTAACTAAGACCCGCTCCTCAGGAGCGGTTCTTAATACAACAAGTGTATGGACTTTCATTGTATATGAGCTGTCTAACAAAGAGATTCAGGAAATAATTGGGCTTTTTTTATTACTACTCATGGTTTTGTTCAATTTCACTTTCTGTCATTCCCGGCACTTGTGAACTTGTATGAATGATGGCATCTGCAGGGTTAGTGATATCCTGTTGTATATTTGATGGGCTTTCAATAAACAAACAAAGAAGAAATTATTGTACCTTGAGGGTGGTATTAAATGTCAAAGGTCATGTTGATTTCATCAACAGGTCATTATTAAATTAAAGGTGGGTGTCGACTAATGGTGTGCATCATTCTATACGGCATTACTAACCAGAATACAGATGACATTGCTGATTAAGACTAGGCTGATTAAGACCAGGCTATTAAGACTCGTAGCACTACATCTCTGAATCACCGGTATATTTGTGTACATGCCTTTGTTTTCTCCGGGGGGGGGGGGGGGTTCAGTGTTCTTTCTTTCCAGCATTTCTATCATGTTAACCTATTGCCTTCTGGAAAGAGACAGTAGTATATAACTTCCCCACAAAAGAATTGCATTCTTTCATACAATACCTTTACATTACCTTTCTTTTCCTGGTGATGTTACAACACGTCTTACATAGCAACTCCTATGTTGGTATCGTAAGGTCTATTGTGAAGAGGTGGTCAGGTCTGGTGAAGCTACATACCACTGTCTCTTGTTAGCTCACTAATGATTGACAAATGATGTCACAAGAATAATGAGATCGGAGCATATTTTTTCGATGTAGCTTAGCAGGTCTGAGAATATCATTAAACAAAATATTTAAAAATCTATGAAATATATTTTGTTGTATGCAGCCATGAACAGGAATAAACTTTATGTTTGGATTTCACCTCACCTTTGAACTCTGAAGTTGCACAGTTGTAAACAGATTATCTGGTCAATGAATCTTCATTTCATTAGAACTGGCTTAAAAAATCATTCTGAATAGCAGTTAAGCAGTAGATACGTTGCTTGGACAAGCAAAGTGTAATTGAAAACTTGCAGGAGAAGACATTCACTGAATCCACCACATGGTCAAGTACTCGCCAGTTTAGATATCTACTTTCATTGTTCTCATTTTGTCTATGCTTACTTCTCAGCTTTATAAAATTTTCTACTGAATTCAATTGGCTTTTGTACACCATTTGTAGTTGTTAATGCTCAGGACCGTGTTTTAGTTTGAATGCGTCAGATTTTTTTCTCTCAGTCATTCCCCGCACTCTCAGGATTCCCTGGAACTGGTATGAATGATGGCATCTGCAGGGCTTGATATATTCTTTCGTATATTTAATTGGCTATTAACATACAAACAAATGTGATAGATAAGATATGAAGCCAATCTAGCTTGAAGTGTTCACTCTATTTTTCGTTTGGTCCAGATATCAATGATTGCTCGAGCGACACCTGTCAGAATGGAGGGTCCTGCATGGACTTGGTCAATGGATACACATGTTCATGTCTGGATGGATTCAACGGAACTCACTGTGAATTTGGTAACATATCATGCAGCTTTATCCCTTTCAAATACACTTCTTCAGAATACCTAAGAGCTGAAACCTGTAGTGGAAGCACTCTTGAAATAAGAGGGATTATTCTTACAGGGGTCTCCAAAAAAAAGCATGAAGGAAAAGCAATATACACTTGGGTAGATAAAATGTAATAGTATATGTATGTATCAGGTGCATATATGTAGGAAATTGAGATATGTATTTATATTTCTATGTACCCTGTTATCCCCATTTCAAATAGAGCAGTGTGGTGTCTGATTTATTCTTTGACTCATGTCATATTGATTTTTAATTCGTTCTGCATGAATTTTTGATTTGCTCTGCTTTATTTTTTGTTTATATTCATCATATGTTTTTACATCATAGATAACATTATGTAAAAGGAATTGTGTTCAGTATATTATAAACATTATTAGATTTCTATTCATTTGCTGATCTTGTAGGCAGAACTATGTGTATCACTCTTCAAACTACTAAATTTGCACAGTTTTTTTAAAGATTTTTCAGAGGACTTGCAAGAGCCATGTCATTTTTCTTGTCCTTATTAAATTGAAATTAGTTGAAATATATCTGAGTTGGGCATGACATGAACAATTTGTTCGATGAATCTAACCAGTAATTTAGATTAAAAATGTATTTAGTTCAAAAATGCAAAAAGCTTATATCTGAATGCTGCAAGCAAATATATTTCCTCTTGATAATCGTGGGCATAGAAATACTAAAAACTGGTGCCAAATTATTTAGATTTCTTTTTTGTTTCAAGTCTATTTGGAGTTACTGACAAAAGTATGTTTCTTGCAGTTTGTTAGTGTTGTTTTGCATGCATGACACAATGGAAAATGTGAATTTTGATTCCTCATAAGTAATTCTCTGCCTTTTCCCGGTCCAAAATGAAAATATTTGTGAAGTTTCAAAAGTAATAAAGCCAATGAAAGATATCAAGAAAAAAATAATTAGCAAACAGTTAAAATTGATAATAGAAGAGATTGTTACAAGAAAAACATTGTTAGAGGTGAGGGTCGTTGACATAGTTCAATGGTCAGTTTTCATCTACTAGAGCGCCCCCCCCCCCCCAATTTACTCAAATAAATGCTAATGTTAAGCAGATTTGCACAATAATTTAATTTTATATTCATTTTGATACCACCAAATATTTAGCAAAACATTTTGCACAATGATTTATGTAGTCATATCTGACTAGTGCAAACATATCCAAGAATCTCAATATACAGGGTAGATGTTAGAAGGAGCTAGGCCCAACTTCTAAAAAGTAAACAAATTGCACTTAACAAAATACAAAGCTCGCAGATAATGGAAAACGTTGGGCATTTAACCTTTTAGTTTGCATGATTTTGATTATTTTTGTTGTATTTTCTTTTGTGGCTGTGATATTGTTTGCTTTGCCTTGAAGACATTGATGCATGTGTCCCTAACCCATGTGTCAATGAAGTGAACTGCACAAACCACTAAATGAATCCCGGTGATGCTACTTACACATGTTTCTGCATGCCTGGATGGACAGGGGAAACTTGCTCAGATGGTTTGTACAAATTCCACCCCAAATATTAATTCTAAAATCATGATTTAGATGAACAATATGGTACACTGTTGCCCATGAAGTTGGAATATTTTGTCCTTAACTCCTTTCATGAATTAACTGTGATAATATGACTTTATCTTGATAGATTAAAGTTTATATCTTCTCTGAACTTTATTGGTCAATCTCTATGACTCTTTAAATTAACCAGTAAAGTTTTGCGTAGATGTAAACTATCAAAAGTACTGGAGTAGCCAGATTGTCTCAGAAATTTCATGAAAAGAGGTAAGACAAAAATTATTCCAACTCTACAGGCGACAGTGTTGTATTGGAAAACTGAATTTCTGTATTGTGCTGAACTTATGCATATTTGCACTCAACTAGTCCTCTTTCCCTATTTTGTATTGATACCATTACATATTCAGTAGAAACCTTTTGCACAATAATTTACTTAATCACATCTGACCAGTGCAAAAATGTCATTTTATTGAAGTATAAAACATGTGTACCAAATAGTAATCATGTATGTATGTGATAAATTTGAGCATAGTTTACTTTTAGATAAACACTATATAATGTGTTTTATACCAGTTAATGACAACACATGATTTTAAAGACACCAAGGCAAAATCTATACTCAGTTATTAGTACCTCTATTATTTCACACAGAATATATTTAATCATGTGTCTCTTTTTGTACCACCCAAGAATCTTTGGTAAATAATCCAATTATGTTTGTTTTATGGGATTGTAAAACAGTTCAATTATCAGGTGTTTGTTTATATGTTAACAACAGCATTATATATTTTTCTATTGATTCACAAAATTTTCAATTTCAGAACCATGAAGGCTTATGTTAATTTAGAAGTTACCTCAAAAATACTTTAGGGCCTTGAAGTCTCAATTTTCAAATGCAATTTTACAAGATATTCTTTTTTGAGTATATTCTTGTTAAATTCCTCTCTAATGTAATCATTTTAACAAAGTTTGTTGAAAGTGAATAGGCACTAAGCTTTGCAAAACTCTAAAGCATTTGCATTATACAAAAACAAAAGTAGCAGAAAAGTTACTGCCTAAAGATGGTAATCAAGAGCTTTGAATTATTGCCAAATGCCTGGCATTGGAGAAAGAAAAGAAAATGTTTTGCTGTTTTAGATTCATTTTTAACATGCTTAAAGGGTTATTCAAATACAAATATGCATAATCCTTTTTGTCAAATGTGTAGATTTTCGTGAATGTGATTCGATGCCCTGCGAGAACAACGGAACCTGCGTGGATGGCCCAAATTATTACAACTGCGCTTGTCCTCCGGGCTTCAATGGATCATATTGTGAACATAGTATGTGAACTTGCACATTAAGGGGATGAGTAGCATGAAAATGCTTGATCATTATTTATGAACATAAAAAGAGTAGGATTGTTGCTATTAAAGGTTGCTGAAAACACATTTTATATACCATGATAAGTGCATTTACAAACCGGTATTGATTGATTACTTGGAATTTCAGTGCAAAAGAATCATCAGATAAAATTTGTGACTATAAATCCTGCATTCAAACAAACCAAAAGTTCATGATTTCAAAGGATGATTTCAAAGAGTATGCTGGGAGAAAGTATGTAGTAGTATTTTATGATGTCGTTAATATCTTAAATATTCTCTTTTATTTCTTTTTAACCCTTTTTGTACCATATCTTATAGGAGCATAATAAAATAAGCCTAGTTTAATAGGAAATCTGCATCCTTTCTCTAGGGAAATGAAATGCTAATATCTACAGAGGTTTTAGATAAAATGTGCATAGAATTTCTTGAATTCCTGCTGGCCTTTTCTAAAGAAAAGCTTTATGAAACAAATGCAGCAAAGCTGGTAATATGATGTTGCTGCCGATTGCATACAGTTTGTTGATGGTATTAATAATCTGTTTATTGAGAGAAATAACAATTAATATGAAGGTTGTCTGGATCTTTCAGAAGTTGGCCATCGTAACTGAGATTGGTAATCCGATTGCAGAGTAAAATAAAAATTGAAATGATCGCTTTTAGAGTGTGTCCGATGGAGGAAAAATATTTAGAACGGGGCGGTTTTGTTTAAGTATTCATATCTACTGCAACTATTTCAGTCTGTCCTGCTGGTACTTTTGGAGATTACTGTACGGAGAGCTGTACTTGTGTGGATGGGGCTAACTGCAGTACTGTCGATGGGGGCTGCACTTGTGAGCCAGCATTTGAGGAAGCAGTTTGTGACAAAAGTAAGTGAACTTGTTGGTATTGTGATGGCTGAAATTATAGAGAATTTAGAGAAGAAGATAACGATAAAGATTTTACAACATTCAGATTGTTCTGAAAGTTCAGCATTGCATTGCAAATGATATTGACCAGATTGTACTGATGCCTGTTAAACCTGTCGTACTTTGGATAACCAGCTCAATTTCATGGATTTTTTAATTCTGTACTGCTCCTTTCAGTTCGTGGTAAAATTGATCTTGAACTCAGCAAACTTGAGGATTATATCCAACTAAACCAAATGGCAAGTCTCAACTGTACCGTGTTCTCGAGCAGTGGTGCAAGCATAGCATGGGAGCGGAATGGAGTGAGACTAGTGGATGGTATGAACAGGACTAGCATTGAACCAAGCCAAGAAATGGGAAATGGAGGGACGTATTTTTTCAGTGTGCTCAAGATATCTGACACTGTCCGAGGAGATAATGGAGTTTTTATGTGCTTGGCTCTTGACGGAGCTGGGAATGTGACCGACAGCGCTGATTTTAGTATCTTTGTCCAAAGTAAGAGTGAAAGTAATTTTTCTTCAATATCAACTTTTTAACTCCTTTTCTTTTCTTTGATTGATGTTCTTTGACTGTTGATACAGATACCCAATGAAATCATTGGATTCAATTTATAATACAATATATGCCCTAACAAATCTTTCTCTATCTCCACTCCCTTCATTTGGGAGCTTTCCAGTCGATTGCTATTTTACATGTATGCTTGTTTGTGTCCAAACCACAAAGGTATCCTCATTCTATCATGTATCTAATAATACATCGGGAAAGGAAGAAGTGATAAGTGCAAGTGTTAATTCTAAGGCTTGAACCCTTGAACTTTTTATCTGAAGTCAAGTACCACTAGACAACAACACCTCTAAAAGCACCAACTATGACTAAAAAAAACTTTGACCATTCTTTTTCCTGTATCTTTCACAGAGGTGGCAGAACTTGCTAATCCAGGATATCTCGATGTCCGCTCCAAGCAACTTCAACTTGTGTGGGACTTCACAGTTCAAGGCAATGACGATAGCATCACCTGCACAGCCAAATACGGGATTGAAGGCACCAATGAGACAGATCAAGATGTGGGAGGTACATCACCGGGTGTCCCGGTGACGGACTTGGAGCCCTACACCACCTACAAGTTTCAGCTGATATGTGTGAATCTTGCTGGAAGCAGCAAGGCTCTGGACTTTGGACCCCAACGAACCCTAGCTGGAAGTATGATCACTATCTTGCATGAATATTCATTCTTATGTCACCCTAAATGAAAAAGTAATGTATGTATTTTAGTGTGTGAGTGGTTTTGCATATATTTTCTGAATATATTCCTCCATTTCTCCTTCTTGTTAAAGTTTGATGTAAACTTGCTTAATTTCTTCCACCATAAATACAAAGACCCTTGCATAAAAAATGATTACCGGTAGATGATAATTTTATATATGCATCTAACTAGTTTAACTAGCCTTTCAATTGTGTATCCTTTTTTTCAGTTGTGCAATGTGAATATGAAGCAGGATTTATCATTCAAGAATCTAACCTTCATTCAATTTTGATGAAATGTATTTTCCTATATTGATGATCACTTTTAACTTTATTTCAGAGCCGTCTAAGCCTCGGAATGTGCGTATTAGTGAAATAGAAGCAAGACAGGTGTTTGTACAATGGGACGAGCCAGCGGATACAAATGGACTTATTGATGGATACATACTAACAGCTATAAGTGAAAAAGGCGACTACTTCTATCGTAAGTCCTTGCTAGCATGCATTTAAGGTAAACAATTTTAACCTTGATATTGATGACATGTTTGTGCAGACTTACAGTACATGCTTGTATGAAAGAAGATCCAGAAAGTAACGGTATTTTCTATCCAGTATAGACCAGAAATAAACCCCTGTCGGACTGTAACCAGTCTGTTTCTACAGAAGCGCAACAGACTGTTTATTAAAACAGCTGGTGGACTTCACTGGATACACCAGCGCCCCATTTCAAAAAACTTGTCATCAGTGACAAATGACAGATTTTGTTATAAGCTTGTGAAATCCTTGCTTCTGATTGGTTATCTGCAGATTTGTCTCTGATTTTTGTCATTTGTCATTGAAGAAAGGGTTTGTTCATACGAGTCCCAGGTGTCTGGCAAATGGGTTCTGTGTGTAATAATGCATTGTGTCACATGACCTTAAATACTAGATTTAGAATATAGATGATTGCTATGTAACTGAGAAGGCAAGCTTACCCAGATAAATCAACCTCCGGAGATAGGTATAATATTCTATTAGTGGTAGTATTATAATTGGTTTATAATGTGTTTCTACAGAAATGAGATGCAGTTTCTCATTAATACACTTAATAATTTATCTACAAATGTTTGCCTGATTAATCACATTTGCTTCTCTTCTCTGAATCTAATGTTATAGCTCCCTATGTACCAGAAACCGGCGCTTCTTTTACAGGACTTACACCATATACAGAATACAGAATCTACGTACGAGCACTAAATTTGAACTCAGAGGAAGGGACACAGATAAGTGAAGAATCTTTACCCTCTGACTCTTTTACAACCTCAGAAGCTGGTATGTATAGATTATGGAGCATCATTATTTAATGAATATGATATTTCAAAGGTCACACAGGTTAATTAAGGATAGATAAATCATATTAGTCCTGTAAATTACTTTATCAAAAGATTCATTTGAAGTACATTTGAACGATGAATTATACTTAATCATAGAAAGGTAAACGTAGAGTTTTAAGATAATGATAAGAGATAATTTATTACTTTATAATTATTTATTTTTGCGAATAACTCATTGATTGCAAATTTAACAACACGTAAACAATATTTCCAGTAAGTAATGTCGCATTTTGAAATCACTAAAGAAAGCCATGTGGCATGCCGTACATACATGTTTAAAGCGTCTTTACACTATAGCACGAGCCATCATCGGGTCATGCAGCGCAGTTCGATACCACATTGATCCTAATGGGGCACTTCAGTAGATTATTTTCATTTAATTCTCGCGAAATAATTATAATATTATGATACTCAAGAATGAGTTCATGATCCATGTAAATAGAATATTAATGATTGAAAAGTATAAAATGGGTAGTGGTTGTGGCTTTACGCAAATTTAACCACTCACAAATTCTTCCTGGACCCCTTGATGTGCAAAAATATCTTTACACAAAAAATATTGGCTGATACTGTATTGGAAATAAAAGAGGTGTCTTAGGAACGTTTATGTACGTCATATGTGTAAAAGTTATCAGAATAAACTATGACTTTTCTACAGATATATTAATTCCTCATTTCAAACATAAATGAAGCAGATCAGTGAAAAAATCTGTTGGTGAAAAATCATGATACTAAATATATTGATTGTAGGCGGGGGCATTTGGAGATCAATTCGTCTTTTAGTCTGTCATGGTGATAGAAATGGGGCTTTAAAAAGAATCAAATTTCTCCTCTTCCTGGGAAGCATTCAAGCCCTTCGTAAATGTTACAATGTTTAAAGATTCAAGTCAAAATGATGTCAAAATGAATCTTATAACGCAGAGCTTAATGAATATGTGCATTTTCCATTCATTTAAACATGTTTTGAAGAAAAAAAATGGCGTCTTTTCTGCATCATATCTGAACGAGCCTTATATCTCAAGCATTAAAACCACTTTACAACAAAACTTCTATAATATGTATTCATGCATGTACATATACGTAGCAACTAATGATAGTACAAGCTGATGTATGTACATGTACCGGTATGTTAATAAGCACATTGGCTGTAAATTCTCAATTATTATATATTTTCTAATTTTTTTAGTACCTGGAGAACCTGGAGGACTTACTGTTGATGATACTCCAACTGAATGCATAATTTCTTGGGGGCAACCAAGAGAGCCAAATGGAGTGATCACAAAATATACAGTAAGGGTTATTTTATTAACTTAACAACCTAGGATGTATTCAATGAACATTGATTGTGAAGCCTAGAATCATATGAATGCCCGATGAATGCAAGCCTCTTTCAATAGGCTACGATTAACAGGATCATTTTTAAGCAGGCAGATTTAACCCGTTGACTACTGTATTATCTAATTCCCATAGGCTTAACACAGGGTCCACCAGGTTCCAGTAAGCAATGGGTTAGAAGGGCATGTTTAAAAGAAAGATTTTTTTTTTTAAGTATCATTGAGTAGAGAAATATGTGACTTTAACCATTTCATTTTCATGGTTGTTTAAAGTAGAAAAGTACACTAGGAAAATTGAGTACTGTTTGGACTAAACATTTTGTGATATTTCACCCATATATATGTTGGTCTTGAACAGCTTACTTTGTTTCAAAGTTACAACAATATATTTTTTTGCAGCATTTTTGTTGTTGGGGGGGGGGGGGGTTCTTGTAAAACAAAAGAATTGATGAAGTTTACCTAAGGAAACCCTAAAAGATTAAGATATACTCTTGTCGCAAAAGAGTTAAGAAGTCTACCAGTTAATGCCATGGTCACAACTCACCGTGTCCTTTCACAAGTGTATGACTGCAGCTGTGGCCTGGTCGTAGGCCAACTCATGCGATTCGTACGTCCTTCTTACAACTCCTCGTGGGTAACCTCTTGCACCCTCATCACAGAAATTCTCCTCCCTTGCCCGTAGAAATCCCATAAAATGTTTGCAATGAAATGCAGCAGCTGCTTGTGCCAATGTGTTTTCAAAAATGTAGCCTCATCCAGAGACTGTTGGACACACGTCCAACAGTCACCTTGGAAACCTGGAAAAAAAAACCTGTAGACCTGTGCATCTGATGCAGGGATTTTCTGTGTAATCCATTGTAGATCACATGCAGAGAAGTGCTTGGCCAGTTGTGACCATGGTTTAAACAGATATATGAAAACGCCCACTTCATTCAACAATAAAACGATACTTATTTGCAATTTAGCATTGATACATCAACATCCTATACTAGGATATTAATTGTGTGTAATTATGAGTATTGCTCCATTTTTCTTGCAGCTCTATACAGAGGACTTGAAAATGGGCACAGATGTTGTGGATAAAACTGATCGGACGGAAGTACCTGGTCGTCAATTGCAGATAACATTTATGAAGGCAGAGTTAGCTTCCTTTTTCATATTTCGTTACTCTGTCACTGCTTCGACTGCACCTGGCGAAGGGGTTACTGCTACCACTACAGACACCTGCGAAACACCACAAAGAGGTTTGGTTCTTTATAATTTTAAGTGTACCAATCACCTGATTTTTATACCTTATTTGTGACATTGGCAGGTCACTTATTTTTTTCTCTGTCTTTCTTTCTTTTTCTCTTTAACATAATTTTTTTAGAAAGGAGGGGGGATCGAGCCCAGCCATTTTGCAGACCATAACATAAAGGCTTCTAAATAAGCGTATTTCGCCTGACTGTAATTTGGGAATTTCTTTTTTTTCCAACAAACGCATAAAAAGGTTTGACTTACAAAAGAAATGGAGAAAAAATGCCGGAAAATCATGTCACAACATCAACATTTGTAAATCACTTGTTTCGAATAAGAAATACATCACCCCCCCCCCAATCAGCACGCCAGCGTTCAGGGGCTCATGTTTTCTCACCCCTATAACAAAAAAAAAACGGACACGCTTTACCATTCCCGCACAATATGTCCACGATAATTATGCGCGTATCGCTATTATAGAGACCTCCATTGATAAATACCGTATAGGTGGCATGCGCAATGTTTATGAAATTTAATTCCTGTGAACTTTCCTTTTTCTTTGAATGGAATTGTATATGTGATCTAATTCAGGTTTTTATTATTGTAACGTTCTTTTAGATTAAAAATACACACTATGTTTACTCCTTTACTGTTTTTGTTTCTTTTTTGAGGGGGGGGGGCGTTTTTTTTTTTGGGGGGGGGGGGGGCAAAACGCATTTTTGCCCCCCCCCCCCACTTTTTTGACTGGGGGGGGGGGAAGGGGCAACTGCCATGATCAACAAGATGAATGCACGCTTTCTATTCCCAGTCCCATTCAACCCCCATTTTCACAATGTTTGTTTACCATTCATATTCCGCGTTCAATTTCATGCTATGAGCCTACTTAAGAAGTGAAATTTTCTATTCCTCATTTTTCATTCGTTGGTCTTGTCCCCCCTTGTGCATGTGCTTCTTTTCCTCAAACCTCTAGTCTAGTATTCATATTCGTTTGTTTTTGTATTTTTTCCGTTCTTAGACTCATAATTCTGTCTGTCAGGTTCATGTAGGCATATCATTCTTGTACGGCCAAAAGATGAGGAAAGAAACAACTGAAGGTTGAAAAGCCTAAAGTGCAGTGGCGGATCCAGGGGGGGGGGGGGGGGGGGTTGCAAATTTTCAAATTTTCGAGAGCCCCCCAAAAAAATTGTGCTCACTAGAGTGGCCCTTTAAGACAATGAATCGGGTTATCTTTGTTTTTGTGTTCTTGTTCTCCTCTCTATCTCTCTCTCTCTCTCTCTCACTCTCTCGCTCTCTCTCATATATATTTAAAGACGTAAATGAACTTATACTTGACGACCCACAAATAAACATAGAATTAGAATGCAATTTTATCATGCCAGAGAACAGAGGACTATATTAACAATCATGATTGTTAACAAAGGAAGCAATATACACTACAAAAGAAAGTATACAAAAATGAAAGGTAAAAAAGCCCAGGACATATTTAATTGTTTACAATGCAGGGTAATACTTTTTATTATTCATGATAGAATACGTGATAGACAATGTACAAATGCTCAATCTGAATATATTTTATTTCATAGAAACGGCTTGAAAATACTTTCAAAAATTCCAGTCTACATTGCTTTGTGTAATGTCTTTGCTTACTTATGATATCAATTTATAATCGTAATCACTATCTTACTATACAAATCGTATTTTATCGGGAAATCTCAGTTATGCTCCAATGCCTTTTTGTTCCATCTAATACTTTGTTTTATTCTTCCAAAAACATTAGATACATTATTTAGATTAACTGTTATGTGAAGATGTGATTAATTTAAATGATCGCAAGGACTTTCCGAAAGATCAATCTAAGAAAATTTTAATAGCACATTCCGTCATTGATTGAAATGAATATGCAGATAATCTGATGACGTATTATGTACTCCAAACGTGATTTATATAGGATACACAATAGAGTAATTAAATTACCCTTGGTTTGATTAAAAAGTCTCGTGTTAATAATTTGTCATCTTTAAATTTAGAAAGCAGTGGCACGCCTGTGACTTTGACGATCGTATCTGTAGCCGTGATTCTTGTCCTCATCTGTGTCATCATGATATTCATTTGTATTCGTAAACGCAAAAGGTAAATTGGTATTAATTTCGTTTAGTTTATGGCTTACTTCGAATCATCGGGTCATCGCGTCCGGTCGGGTGGTCGCGTAGCACGAACTTTTGTAGATTTTTCGTATCTTTTTCACAAAGTGCCGTGTAAATTGGAACACACCATTTGTAGATGAGAGGGGTTTATTTTACAAACATCCCCCCGACATTTCGTGAATAAAGGGCACGTTTTCACAAAAAGTCGGGTAACGCGACCACCCGACCCGACGCGATGACCCGATGTTTCGAAGAAAGCCGTTTTAATCAAGTAAACACATATCAATGCAAATAATAACGAAACAAAGAAGAGAAAGGGAAGAGAAATTGAGGGAGAGAAAGGGAGAGAGAGATAGCCAGTGGAAATGAGAGAGAGAGAGGGGGGAATAATGCCCAAGAGGACCTCTCATTAAGACTCCTCGGTAGAACAGCCGTGCTGTCAACTTAAATCAAGGGGGCGAAGGAAAGATGGCAAGAGAGGGGTGGCGAGAAAGAAAGAGAAGAATACAGGAATTAGTGTAACCAATTTTGGTAAGCATACATATGGATCTTTAAAGGCATCGTTTAACAATGTTAAATCTGAGATGCATGGCCCTACGCGTTATCAATGCATGTGATATGGCGTAATATTGAAGCCCTAAACAAATTTGAGTGCCGGTTTTACCATACTCATTTTCCCCATTAGACTGTAGTGCTATGAAAACCCTTAGGAAAACGCAAAATTTGATTTCGATTTCCAATCATAAATATCTGGATAATCAGACAGGCACTCGACTGACCTAAAGGTATATCATTATGATTGCAGCATGAGCTAAATCCAGGATTTTGTTTCAGAATCTGAGGTAATGTTTTTTTTTTTTTTTCTGTTTAATAAAATCATCTTTATTCAATATTGCTTTCGACTTTGCAAAACATAACAAAACATATTTGAATATGCATACATAATATAACCGATAGAATCAACAACAAGAATATAGCTGATTTTACAAGACATGGTGGTACATTTTTTTAATATTCTTTTTAAAGCAACATAATGTTTATCCACCTATTATCAAATGATACAAATTTGTTATTTTTAACATAAATGTATTGTTCAAGGGAACGATAATTCCTTAATATGCATTTAAAAGAATTTAGTGAGAGTACGCTATTTTTGCATTGGTTGGAAAATATAAAGTATTTGGCTTATAAAATAATAAATTAAATTGAACTCAAACGTTTCCATAAAACCCAAATAAGAAATTAATTTTATTCAAATTAACTTTATCCTCTAAAATGAAATGTTAGACATCCGCAATAAACCTTCTAATGATTGGGCAATTCCAAAATAAATATTCTATAGATTCCACGAAGCTATAACAAAATGAACATAAGTCTGACTGCGAAATATTTAATAATGTAAGATATTCATTAACATCAACTATACGATGTATTATCTTAAACTGAAAATAACGGATCGTGTATATAAACATGACCTAACAGGAACTAAGAAAATATTAGCCCAGTCTATGTTTGGGATATTAAACAGAGAATTACATTTATCTATTGATTTAGGGGGACTAAAAACCTGTTGAACACTTAAATTATGAATATAGCGACATATCTTCGTTACCTTCATTAGATTTTTAATCATTTCCTCTTGAGCTGTCAGGTCTGCCTCAGAACATTTAGGGATATTATTTTTCCAATTATTGGGAATAGCCGTTTTCACAGAATAAAATTCTACAAAATTGTGTTCAAACTTAAATTTCTTTCTTAATTGAGAGAAGGTAAAAAGAAGATCAAGAAGATCCGATAATTTAATTATGCCTTTGTCATACCATAACTTTATGAATAATACTTTTTTGTTTCCACGAATCATAGTGCTGTTCCATATATCTTGTCGTCTGATATGGGAAGGACTGATTTCCGTATCGAGTGTTAAAGAGCCCATGACTGGCCAACTTCCCGAATAAAAATGTTTTTTTATCGACAATATACGAGAATCGTTTTTATTAATATTACTATACCAGAAAAGATTTCCTCCAAATGGAGCCAAACAAACTGCATACAAACATTTCCATTGCCCAACATTACTATCGTCAAGCAGACGTTTAACCCGGGCAATCTTTAAGCCTGAAATAATTGAGGGTAAATGTAACATTCTCAGACTTCCGTCTACATAGTCTCCAATTATTGTTGTGCGGTTTATTTTGTCTGGTGTTCCATTCCAAATAAATTAAAAAGTAAAGACTCGACCTTTTTTTAGAGGGCTTCAGGCGGTTTTGGAAGGATAGAAAGTAAATAAATTGGTTGGGACAATCCCAATAGATTTACGATAGCAATCTTTCCAATCGGAGTTAGGTTTCTTATTGACCAAATACGACAAATATTTTTCTATTTTTTGGTAGTTGGGGTGGAAAGTTTAATTCAAAAATGTCTTTCAAATGCACCGAAAATTGTACACCCAATGTCATTGCCCAACATTACTATCGTTAGGGTTAAACATCAAACCAGACGAAGCAATGTCCGGAGGGTAAGCTTTAAAATAACCCAAAATTAACAGCTTTGATTTATTACTAGGCCAGTGAGACATTTAAATCCTCTAGAATATCTAAAACTCAACAGATCGTTACGGCCTTCCATAGCATTAATTTTAATTTCTGTGCCGTTATTTTAATTCCTTCAATCAAGGTGTCTTTTCACATCTTGAGACTTACTATTTCAGATGAAAAGGAGTGAACTTAACGGACAGCCTTGTCTTACCCCGCATGTTACTTTGAAATATTCAGAGGCAAAACCATTGTTAATAACACATGAGCTCACATCATTATATAAAACTTGGACTCTAATTGACCAAGTCGATGCCAAAATTTGAAAACCGTAACATTTTCAGTATGAATGACCACTCTATCTTATCTAGTCACTTTAAAGAAGAAAAATAATAGATTTCATTCATATGATATCATTACTCTCGTAGCATGCATAGACCGATTATAATGTCAATGTGAATGACAGTCACAACAAACAGGTTATAATTCTCTTTTCCCTGAATGAATCACAGGTGAGAAGTTTACCCTCAATGTCTCTGTAAATCTAATTAATTATCTATCCTTGGTAATCTCTTTTTTTTGGTCCATAGATCTCGACAGCAAGGGAACAGGAGTTCTCCCATCGCTTCGGCAAGCTTCACCGCGACTCCCCGTATGTGCACAGACTTGTTACCCGCAAATTCACCAACAAGCTCCGGAAACCGACAAGTAGACGATGTATACCATGAATATGAAAGTGTGTGCGTTTGCGGGCAGGACTCGTCGAAATCGAGCACCCGTGCGAACCAAGGAACGAGTCAGGGAATCTCCTTGAGCAAGACGAAGTCGACGTCGGAAAACGACCAGTCGCATGATTATGAGAATCCGTCCTTCGACGATAAGGAATATACTGACCTTGATTTCTCTCAAGTCAAGAAGGGCGGTGATCCAACGAAGCCGACGTCCTCCGGTAAGGAATATACTGATCTTGATTTCTCTAAGATCGAGAAGGGCGGTGATCCAACGAAGTCCTTTGACGGTAAGGAAGATGTTGATCCGGCCTATGAAGTTTGTATCATATAGAATGTCAATCAAATAGATTTCAAGTCTTTTACAAAAATAGAATTACATCAAGATATACACTTGAAATATATATTGAAGACAGTCATGAAGATTATCATAACAAAGAGAATTACCTTATAGATTTATGAAAAGTATGTACAGCCAAAACCTGTTTATAGCGACTGCCAAAGGGAAACACAAAGGCCCAAATTCACAAAGCAAGGTTTGAGCTCAGACCAAGGTTTGAGCTCAAAAACCTCCTTTTGTTTCGCCAAACCTCCTTTTGTCCTTTACAAACCAGGTTTGTAAAAAACGCGTAAAACGCGTCACATGACGTACGAAAAGCAAGGTTTGTCGACAAACCTCCTTTGTGAATTCGGGCCTATAAGTTGTCTTTGTAGACAGGTTCATTTAGTACATGTTTTAATGAGAAAATATTTCCAAGGGAAACATAAAATGTGGTCTTTGTAGACAGGTGATCTTCGTAAACAGGTGGTCACTAAAGCAGGTTTGACTGTATAATGCTGGAGTACCATTAAACCCGTTGATTGGAAACATAATTCTCAAAATCAAAATCACGTTAGCCTATTGTTGGTTATACTTCAAAGACGTGTTTAATGGAAGATTCCAACTAGAGGGTATTTCATTTAATAACCAGTATGAACTAGACGAGTCGTTACAGTCCCTTTCTTTTGTATCCTTTCATTATTAAAACGAAATACTTATATGATAAAGCAAGCTACTTGGTTATAACTGATACTGAATTATGAAATCATTATCTACATGACTGGATCATGAGTGACTAATGGATATCCTGTTAGGAGTAAGTTTATGTGTGGTTATGAACTTAAATAAATACTAAGCACATGGCTTGCTTTCATTTTCTCTAAAGTCGGAGTGACTCTTTTATGAATAATCCCTCTTTTTAGTGCTAAGTCGCTTTCTTTGTGTATATTAATACCTGGTGTTAGTTTACCCTTTATTTTCATCGGGAGATTATTTAAAGAAATAGTCGTGAGGAATGGTGCCACATTCCTGTAATTGTTGACAACTCCTGAAAAGGGTCGGTGGCCCTGAGATTTAGCACATATACGTAGACATATTTTTTTTTTCTTCTCCCTTTTGTAGTAACTGCAGTGTTGGTCTTTGATTGAATTTCAAACTGAAAGGTTTACGAGGGCAATTTATATTCAAGTGATACATGCAAGTATGTACTTATAACAATCTCTTTTAATGATTCTATATTTTGCCTCGTTTGACTTCATCATGATTTCGTACTCTCTTTTGTGTTCATATTGTTTTTAAATGTGTTGATGGATGAGCAAATAAAATGAAGGTATTTCTATTTTTAGGTGGATGATATCCAGTAATTGCTGTTTGTTGCAATTTACAAATTGCAATATTATTTTGTTTTGACATATATATATATATTCCTATATTGTTCAAACACAAAGGGAAACACAAACAAACGTACATGTTACAGGTGTTAATTTAAAGAACAAGTACAGGACAACATAAACTATACAATGAAGACATATTTCATAACATACAACACTGAAACATAAAATATATGTAAAAAGTTTTTACGTAACAAATTGAAAAATCATTACTATAATGATGATGATGATAATAACGATGACAATGATAATAATAGTAATTCTAATGATGATAATGATAATATTAATGATGATAATAATGATGATGATTGTAAAATCAATAGTGGATTGTTTTGTATAGCGCCCATGCCTGTCAGACTCGACACTCCTGGCGCTCATCAACGTGAGAGTAAACTGGGTTGGAATAAACATAACCATCTTTTAGGTTCAATTCAAGATTATCATACCGCACAACTTAATTCAATGTTTTACATTTAGCTTTTTTAAATTGTTATTGTAGCAGTTGGTCAGGGGAACAAGGGATAGACATACTCATTTATTAACTTTTTGATTTTGAGATTGTTGTTATGGTGTTTGGGCTATAGTTATACTCAGAATTAAAACGAAAAGACTAAATGCTCTGAAGATTTTTTCTTTCTTTTGTTCTCTTTATGTATGTATCTAGGAACAGGTAATTAATAAAACAAGAATTGCTGCTACAAAAAAAGTCTTTTAAGGTGACAGATACACGAAAATTTGTTTTATTTAGAGATTATAAGGCATCTTTCGTGTCAATAGACAAAAAAAAAAGAGGGTGAGATGACTTGGAAATCTTTGAATCTTTTATTTCACTTTCCCTCTGTATGTCAAAGAAAAAATATAAGCCTTATTAAGAGAGAGAAAGAAGGGGAGAATGAGAGAGAGAGAGAGAAGTGAAAAGGAGAAAATATATTATCATAGAAAGAGGATAAAGATCAAAAGGAGGTAGAGAGGGAGAGAATGAGTGAGAAAGAAAAGGAGGTGTAGAGATAAAGGAGGAGAGAGGGGTGGAGAGAGAGAGAGAGTTAAGAACAGGGAAAAACATAATCTTAGAAAGAGTGTAAAGAAATGAAGGTAGAGAGAGGAGGATGGTTGAGAGAAGAAGGAGAGAGAGAGAAGAACATGGGGAAATATAATTTTAGAAAGAGTTTGAAGAGATGGAGGATGAGCGAGAGAGAGAGAATGAGAAAGGGATGGGTGATAAGAAGTAAGAAAAACAGAAATGGGGATACGGGGGGAATAAGAATGAAAATGAAAGGAGGTTAAACAAAATACGGGGAAATAGAGAGGAAGACGGATGGAATTATAACAACTAGAGACAAAATGCAGAGGGTCGAGTACACCGAGGGAAAGAGACAACCAGACTTTGTCCACGTATCTGATACCTTAATTAGGGTGTACCCTTTACAATCTATGTTAAATCTGTGGAATGACCCATCCATTCGGTATCTGATTATTTACTATTCCCCATAGTTTCATTGGAATTGTATGCAAAATCACAAAATGTATTTTTGTTTTGCTTTGTGGTTAAAATTATGACGAATGAGGGCACTATGACACAAAACCAAGTCCGGTGTATTGATTGTTCGAATTCTAAAGCCGAATATTCAGACACTTTGTTCCGTTTTCTGACTCATTTTAATTTGACCTCGTTCAACCAATATCAGACAATAAATATGATGTCGCTTTTATAATAGTCAATCAAGCATAACCTAAGAAAATATTTTCTTTAGATATATTGTCGCCAAACCTAAATTTGGAAATGATGTCAACATAATAAATATGATATCGCATACAATTTGAAAAATAGGAGGGAAACTTACTTATTCTTTTCTTCCTTTGTTAGGCCTTCCCTAAAAGGAACTTCAGCGATTAATTCAAATCACTCAACTGTGACACGGGCATTGATGTTTATTCGTCAGAGATATGCCCAAGTCATTCCAACAACCGGTTAGTTTGAAATCGATATGGAGTCGAGTCGGCGGTGTGACTGAGATATTCATCTTGCCTATAAGGCTCAGAAAATTAATTGTTAGAATTTAATTCATTCTTGATGGATTAAATTATATCTTTTCATAACATTATAAATCAATCTCTATGACCTTGATCTCTTGATGAATACAATTTGCAGAAGATATCATAGTTATCTATCACGAAAAAAAAAAATTGTCACAACTAAACCATTTCATGAAAAAGGGTAAGACAAGGCATTTCCTCTTTATAGCATATCATAGTAGGCAAAATTTGTATAATATGTCCCAATAAGGTAGACCTAAAATAAGATGTGAGGCCTGCGGTACCAAATAACAACATTACAGCCATCTAAAAAGGTGCTATACTAATACTGACACAAATATTTGAAAATGAAAATATGACATTTGTCGCATCAAACATAATAATCACATATTTCCAGAATTACTGTAATCTAACTATGAGTATCCCTACTCAACGCCCATGCCAAGGTATAGTTTATGTCACAGATAGCGGGTATCATGTGGTGATTCATACTCAAAAATTGACAGCAAAATTCATAATTTGTTCTAGATATAGAGGCATGTCTGCGCTAAGCTATTTAGACCAGCGAGTACAATCATCAGTTAAAATAAACTTTAAGCCTTCAGACATTTTAAAACAGATTTTGGCCCTCGATCGATCGGAACTAAAACCGTCTTTGCAAAAGATATAAACTTTAACTTTAATCGGCAGATCTCAAAATTCATTTGGTCAAGTTGTTATGCGCTATTGAGAAGCAGATCTATTATGCCACCTTTGCGGCGCCACGAATACCTTTCATATTGACCACGCCCTTCTTCATTACCCCTTCCCCACGCCCAAACTCCAAGTAGCGTCTTTAACTACGTATTTTGTATACACACATGCGGATATCTCACCCCTGTACATATACATAATTATCTGCGTAGAGCCCACACACACATGTATTACTTGAGCACTTACGACACACGCACACACACGCAGAGAAAAGAATCAATTTTGGCGTTTAGGATTTCCATTTACTTACGCTTCTCTAGGGCACAATCATAATGCTTATAAGGATTCCTCCTCTCGTAAATTAAATTAGCATCATTTTTACTTAATGAAATGACGTGCATAAAATCGTTGTTATTGTTTTAATACCACCTATCCATCGAATATATTTATATGTTTTGTTACTTTGTATATGCGTTACTTTGTAAATACTTTTCATATGCAGTTAATGTTGAAATAAAACCTTTAAAAAATGTGCACACTAGCTGCACATCGATCTCTCGTTCCTTTTCATTATTAGCGATAATGTACAATATGATATAAGATATTGATACCACTTCGCCTTAACCTGCACCAATACCCCTGCGTGGAAAGGCATGTAAACGAAACCTAAAATGCGTCCGAAATCATCCCCTTCCGCACCCGTTGCCATATTCTCAAGAAATATAAATCAGGAACAAAACCTGGTAAGAGTATTACTAATTTAGTTGTTAACTGTATGTATATAATATATGGATGATGTATGTACTGTTTACTGTGCAGTTATAACACTGGTCAGAATGATAAGGAAATGCAAATTGATCCTCTTCATCTTATGGTTATGCAAGTACACGTTCACATAGATGAGTTCCCACATATTTAAGTCTAGAGTGTAGCAGCTTTAATTACAACTATCTCCATCAACACGATCTCCTTGTACTTGCTGCAAGCCGTAGATGGCGAAATCCCTGAATTTGTTATACCCCGGCAAAAATTCAGACTGAGCCTAGCGATGTGCGGATCACACCATCCTCGGCTTGCAGCAGGTAGGGGGAAGGGAGAGATCGTAACTGCACGATAAAATCAAACCGGCCATATTTGTCAATGATGTTACTCCAATTAGAAGTAGACAAACTTTGCAGCAGTTTATAAGATTGTGAGTACACATGCACGTTATTTATTTAGAATCAATGAAATCTGACAAAAAGGGTTTCAGAGCTTACAGACACTATAAGTGAAATTTATGAATGTAATCAGTAAATGCTATACCTACAGATATTTGTTTTCATGTTCATTTTTCTTCTTTATCATTTCCAGGTCAAGGTTATCCTGTACCAGAGCACGACGCTTAATAGTAGTCATATAGAAGAGGCTGATTGTCATCAGATCTGGGTAAGGTATTATATTTCAAAAGCACTTGATTTTCTTCTCTTTTGACCACATATCTACTGTACTTCAACACATACTTAATGCCCTGTTGACATGTACATTTGTTATCAAAATAATACTGAGCATTTGTAATGTGCCATGTCTGTCAAATTTGACACTCCTAGCGCAAATGTTACACAATTTCATTATTGTGGGCATACATTAACTAAATGCTCAAAATAATTCAAGAAAAGAAAGCATGTAAACATAATTTTATACAGTTTATTCTATACAATGTATACAGTTTTGTAGGAGGTAATCCAAGGAGAAGTTATTTTTAAGCAGTACAAGGATCTATAAATTGCATAGCAAGTTTCTCAACCAAATTTTTCGGAAGAATTATGGTTTTGTGAGTGAGCGTAGAATGAAATACATGTATATCTGTGTTGCATTGTGTATGTAAAGGATTTTTTGGTACCAAATATTCACACTTTGTACGGGAAAAGGGACATTAAAACGAAGAGTTTGATTAGGTTTGAATATCCCCACATCATAACCCTCTCTTTGAAATATTGCTACATGTAGACCACAGGTGCTTCATACATTATACTGTACAGTCCTGCATTTGCTGTAGATTGGCCATCAAGCCTGGTATTATGCAAACAACTTGTACCTGTAAAATGAGGAACCGATCTGTGGTGTATTAGAGTGTACACATGTAATTGTTCAATGTAGGCATCATCTCTGTTATTAAAGGTGTGTTGTGGTACAAAGTTCACCCCATTGAAAGACCTAGTTTGCTTCTAAATATATGATCTATTCTGTGTGCTGTAAATATTCTATTATGTATCCCAGACCAACATTTCACATAGCGTGTACCTTTTTATTTAATGAAAACTTGAAAAATAAATGTTATGATTTCTAGAGTAGCATTTTATGTAAATAAACATAATACTTCCACAGCAAGAAAGAGCTCCTCACACATGGCACAGGCATGAGAAATATTGTGATTCACTTTTTATTTCCACTCCCACAAAAAAATCACACTGAAAAGTTGAATGATTAACAACAATATTTTTTTTTTTTAATCCAATATTTGGGGCACTTTGATATCAGATCCCTGTAACCATCAAGTCCTGTATTAAGAACACGTTTCTGATTGGATGTACCTCATTAATGAAAAAATATTGTTTGGTTCATATATCTGCTGCCAGAACAAAACTTTTAAATGTATACAGTGGTCACAATTACTGGGATTTTATTTATTGATTACAAAAAAAGACATATACTAGATGTACAGCATTACTACAGTACGTCCTTTTGGCAAGCATATATTGCTCAATTTGTAATAAATGTTGAACATAATTACGAAATATCCATAAAAATGTCCCAACATTGTTACATGCTGTACTAGGACACAGATGTGTAATTTGCCTAATTTTTACAAAGTTAACGGTGTACATTTACTCTTTCAATAAGACATGCCGATTTTTCCGGGCGATTTCTTAAGCCAACTCCAACATAATCATGCATTTCAATGCATTTCACCTCCATTTTAGATAACCTTGTGACATCAAAAAGCGCCTACTTCTTCAAGCCGGTTGTATTACAATAATAATATGGTTAATTTTTCTTTGACACTCGTTTATGGTTTACACCCAGTACATAGAGTTCACGTGCTCGATATGGTCCATCTTCATTCATCATCGGTCTATGCAATTCAATCTATTGAAATGGTAATTTTCATAGAATGAGAGAGACCGATTTTAAAGGGAAACCTGTTATTTTAAATTCTAACATTTTGTGATTGCTTTAAAAAGTGTATGTAAGCTTCTATATTAATTGTCAAGTCATTGTTAACTTTTTTTCTGTCATTGAAGGAAAGCCTGTACTACCATATTGTTTGGAGTATATTTGTGTACACTTTACATGCATGTAGACATTATATTTTTGTTTCCAGTTGTTACTCAACCGGTAGAGAGTTCAGACTTGTACATCTTCTTCATAGGAAATACATTGAGATCTTGCTCATTTGTATAGACCAGCAACAAACGAAAAGGTTTTAAAAGAAATGCATCATGTCGTTAAACCGTACTTGTAGTTAGCTATATAAAGAAGTGCACACTTGTATAGAAAAAAGGCCACTAACATTATCTTCTAAAGGATTTTACATAAGTTTATAAAAAGTAAATAAAAACAGTAATCTGCTTTAAATTTATAGGCAGTGTTAAACATTACAACTTTTTTCTTAACCTCTATACGTATATGTATTTTAACTTTACCTCATGTGAAAGTAAAGCATAGCATGAACCTTTTAGAATGGTGTGGACCATTAGGGAATGTACTGCATTATTAACGTGCAGTTAAAATATAAACTCGGTAAAGTTGTAAACACCTTGTTGAGCAGACTAATAGTTGTCGCTTGCATAAAGGCGTATCAATAAAAAGTTTACCGATCTGTGGTAGCGCCTAATTGAAAAGTCATAACCAATATGGCTTTGAAATTGCTTTTATGATGAAGAATAACTTATTTTCCGTCCAATGATACCCTTTTCATAATATCACTGTCACTGGCGTACGATATGAGCACCAGGGTGTTTAAAAAGTGTTGTTGAAATCGCCTTGTTTCAAGTTTGGGCTCTAGAGAACAATGCAGGTCAGGTTACATGCATGTGATTCTTTGGTCTTAAATCCTTTTAAAAGTTAAAAATTGCTTCGTGCTTCAGTGTTTCATTGTTTAAAATGATGCAAAGTAACTAGGCTTTCACATAACCTTGTTTCAATCGACAGGATAACTTTAATTATTTTAAACAGCCTACTAACTTCTTGTCCAATGATAAAGCTCTCTCTGCTCACTTGTCCACTGCGCCATTTCACACGCGTAAGGAGCATAGGGTGATTATCCCGAATAACGATTGCAAACTCAAAGGTTACAAAACGAAAATGAAAGAAAGAACAATTAAGATGATAAGTATCAAATAAATTGACAACACACTTATATAAAAAAAAAAAAAGATATCATCCCTGATAAACTTTATCAATCCTGCGTCACTTAATGATAAGGTAACCTCGAACAAGTGAGGCGAATATGGGCAAGATTGTAACCGTCATAACGAATAGAAAATCATAAATTTTGCTTGAAATAAGCATTTCTTTGAGTTTTTTCAACTGCCTAATAGTCAATGTATATAAACGAAAACTTGTTTTGGAATGAGATAACACACACATAATGGCTTTTGACCCCCATTTATTCCTTCATCCCAAGCTTGGTATAAGAGAATGTTGACAACACCTTTTGAAAGCCTGCTGTTCAGTCACCCTTAGGAGCACAATTGTGAAAATGGCACCATGGACATGGTATCGGTTCTTCTTTACAATACAATATGGTTCAAGGTCACACATAATTTAATTATTAGAAGCTACCAAAGTTGGGTAATACAACAGGTGGGAATTCAATAGTAGTACACAGATTATATGCATGGTATAGAGGTCCAATATTTTATATTATTCCAACTTCCCGGTTTGTATCTTGCATTTGATAGTAAGCTGTACATGTTGAAACTACATGTACATCTACATGTGTGTTCAAATATTGACCAATTGAAACCTAGTATACAAATTAATATTGTTCACAATGTGTACTGGAGTAGTTTGTATATACATGTATATATTATATAAAAAGATTATGAGTTGGGTAAACGAGATGTACAATGTATATAACCAGTCAGTGTTTAAACATCTTTGAAAGTACTTTGATTATAAGATTACCAATACAAAAATACATAAATATTTTGATATCCTGATGAAAAGTGTCCTCTAACAGATCTTATAATTTGATGAAAATAATGTAAAACTATTGAGGAGATCTACACGGACAACATTTCATCACCATCTTGTTCTGTTGTTAAGAAAATCTACCTTATAGATTGCTTTAGTGTTTATTGTAATTTGTATTAATCATACGCCAGCTTAATATTGTAATGCTGAACTGTCATCTGAGACTTTTAATGGAGTGTGGGGGATGGAAAGCTGGAACTTGAATATTTATGCCTAGCCGTTTTTATCTTCTTCTACTTTTTCTGTATGATACAGGAGTGCAGGAGAGAAGATCATCAAGATGGTTTCGAGAGGAGGAAGGTGTTTGTGTTTGGTGCTCATATTGATAGGTTTGTTATTCTTAATCTAGTATTTACAGTTTAGTGTGTCCCAGAAAAAGGCACCTGATTATCGGTAATTTATTCATTAATTCCAAATCTTTCGTTTCCTCAAGGAAAATAACGATTGCAAATTGTACTACCTGCTTGGTCATGCCTGACCCTTCTATCTTGAAAATCATCCTGTCATTTGGAATATGATAACATCAAAATTGTGTTGATGTTTATATTAAGTAGTTGATAATTTCAATTTTGTTTTTCCCAAAACCATAATGAACCAAAAGCAACAGCCATCTGCTTATTTTGGACGAAAGGGCTATTGAAAATCACACTTCTGATAGCGCCCATGCATGATTTATTGATCATTCTTTTGGTGACAAGTGACGAGTTATTTACCCCAAAACTTGGGTTTTGTTTATCAGGGACATCATGTATTAGGTATATATATACTCGTGCACCTCCATGTTCTGCACCAAAATGGCAGTGATCCAACATTTGCTCCAGTGGCAATTGCCCAGATTGTATTTTGTCATAAGAACATGTTTATGGTTAAGGTTGTAATTGGGTTATAGGTTTTATTTAGGGATGAGGTAAGGGTTAGGTATAATGTTTGGGCCAGAGTTGAAGTTAATAAGTTAAGTTGGGGAAATTACCATGCAGCACTTGTAACGGGAGCATGTGTCGTTACAAAGTCGAGTGTACAACATTGTCTGCATCCTTTCTCTGCGGCTTATGCCGAAAGGGTGGGTAGCGTCGCGTAGCGTTGACTTGAACGCGACCTTTCGTCCGTTGACTAGTCTTCCACATCAGTCGTTCATAATAGAATTTAAGGAATAGAAATTTAAGTCGCTTAAATTCAAATATTCAAAATAGAAAGAGATTAAAAATTGAATAAAACTATTTTTACGTAGTCTTGCAGATCACAGTTCTTTGAATGAGGTCACAGGCTCTTGATCGTTCACAATTTAATGGTTGGAGTCACAAACTTCTGAAGATTCAAAATCCATCGAATGGAATCACAGACTCTTAAATGTTCACAATCCATTGAATGGAGACACAGGCTTTAGAAGGTTCACAGTCCAGTGAATAGAATAAAACTCTTTAACATTTACAATTCAATTAATGGAGATGGTACTTTATTATTTTATTGTGTGAAAGCGTCAAATGGATCATAATTAATTTACGTATTCTCTCTTTCACAATATGCAGGGTTCTTGTTGGGAACAACAAATGGAGAGACAAGTAAGTTGTTTATCATAAACACAGTGTTTATTCTAGAGAGATAAAATTGCTTAATTTTAGTGAAAAATATAGTAGTGGACAAAATTCAGTTTTATCGTTATGGAATTGTAGAAACCTTTTATTATTAGTATGCTAACACGATGAACAGCTTTAATTAACATTGCCATGGCAATCAAATATGATATACTAGCAAAATTACTATTTTTCAAAGAGTTGGAAATTTAGAATTAAAAAAATCATCGTAGCACTGAATTTATGTACAACATCACTCAGATATATATGCCCACTTTTGAAGGAAAGTCTATCCTGGCAACATGTTTAATTAAATCAAGGTAGAAAATGAGGAAAAAAAGTGAAAGTTTTGAAAATATGATAAAGAATGAGGAAATTGTACATTTTTTTCTGTGCTAAACAAAGTTTTCTTCTTCCAAACAGTTATTCATAAGTTGTGACAAACTCATCATTATGAAAAACATTATTTTCCTCATTCTGGTACTTGATAACAGGAGTATGTCCATATTTATGAGCGGGTGTGAGAGTGTATAGGGAATTATGAAATAGGACATGGATATGAAGAAGGGAAAAAATCTCAGAAAAATTGAATAATTCTTGAGGTTTTCAAATGCCCTTGTCATGAGAATGAAGGTCTGTGGATTAATATTTTTTGACTAATCTGCTTCATTACTGGGTGAAAAATTGTAAAATTAAAGTCCAAATTTAGTTACACAATAATATAAAGTTTAATGATTTTTCAAAAATGTGTACTTCCGAGAGTTGTCCGATGACTTAAAAAAACAGATGCCTAATATAGCACCAACTGTAACAAAAATTAAATGTAAAAGCTCTATCATCTTTTCCATTTGTTCACCAGTATCCCCGTTTCTCTCTCTCTATTTTCTCTTTTTATCACTTAAAAAAAATAGCAATGGGACCAACCACTGCACTATGTAAGTTCATCGCAAATTTTCAAACACAGCTTACAACTGTTTCTAACTATTATACCAAATTTAATATAAATATCAGTATTTCACTTCAATTTTGCCAAAAAGCCAAATGGAGGAACTAATTTTCTTATGGGTGATTGCTTTTTAGATGTTACCTTCATTGTGTATGTATGCGTGCTTTAAACTGTGAACATCTGAATCAAACTGAGTCTTGCAAGTTTTTATAAACGTAAGAAATTTGTACAAGATAATCCCTTTCTTTCGTGAAACGTTCTTGAGCTTTTCCTCAGGTCTGTTTAACATCTTCCAGATGCTTCTCCAAGGTCCTCGATATCTATTTAGAAATAGAAGAATATTTCATGTAGATGTTCATTTTGCCACACAATGTAGAAAAGCTTATAGTTTTTATATAATTATTAACATGTTCTTTTATATAGCTTCATTTTATAAGCTTTTATTAAAATTGAGTTGACGTCCACATGCACTATGAAAATAGCATTTTTAATTTGAAATTAAAGTACAATTTTTGAAGAAATAGCCTGCTTGAATATCATTTTTATTTCAAAATGTTATTCCTCGGAGATAATGATCTTATTTAAAATCAAAAGCAACTTCAGCCAAATTCATCCCTACATGTATACTCTTCTTTTCACTAGAAAACTTAGGTCCTGTGTGAAAATTTAATAACCAAGCGTTTACAGATATTAAGTCAGGTGGTGCGTGACTAGCAGATCATTATACATGTTTATCTGTCAAATTTACTCATTTTTAAAGCAACATTTCGTTTTTTATGCCTCTATAGTGATAGATATAGAATACTAACTCTCCCTTTTCTGTTTAGAAGTGCACATTAGAGGCTTGTTGAGATATGAAGCAGTGAATTGTGGCGGTTTTTTTTATAACGTGCATTTTACGATTGGCAACCTCGCGCAACAAAGGTTCTAGGCGTATTCCCGGAGCTTTGAATTTAAATAATAAATGTCAAGGAAATATCAATACTAAGCTGCTATTAAGTTTTTTCTCTCCTCCAATGGACTCATTCACAAGCAAAATATAAAAGTAACTTATATGCCTGGCCCAGCCTGCCCGGCATGTAAAACTCCAAAAACGTAAAACCCCAAATACATGTAAACCTATGAAGGTTGTGACTTTGTGTGTGTCACTATCTCCTAGAAAACATTTTTGTATTCTGAAATTCATCAGTAATCAGTGATAAAATATTAGAATATCTTGCACAGATATCTATCGAATGTAAGGCCACATGTATAAGACACTTCTCTTTCTATTTTCACTCCTTGACACTCCTAACTTTCCCCGATTGAAGTGTTGATTTTTGTGTGTGCGAAGCTTAGATATTTATTAAAGCTACAAATTTGATTTGATTGATTGATTTATTTCTGTTTGATTTTCTTTTTCTTTTGCATTTTTACAAATATATAACAAACAAATATTTCAAATTTACACATGACAAAAGAATATATGTAGAATAAGGTAAGGCTGGGTGTAACTAATCGAGAACATCAAACAGGAGGGTTGACAAAATAAGCAAAGCTTGATAGTATGACTACCCTCAAATACCTGCTTCTATTTCTCGTAGGTATATTTTTTAAAGCATTAAATGGGCTAAGACATGTTAATCGTGAGAGTTCAGTTTTAAATAACTTTGAAATATTTTAGGAATTGTTAAGAAAGAATAGTTTTTTATGATTGTCTTCCATATTTTTTTTAAAACGCTGTTGTCCTTGCTTAGTTATATAAGTAGGGTGATTTGTTCAGAATGAAGAGGAGGGCATTTTTAAATGAATCCAGATATAAACAATACATAGTACATAAATCATAAATAATGAAAAAAAATACATATTGTACTAATCGATCAACCGAAAACAAATCATCTTTTGAGAGAAGTCAAAGCTATCATTGTTTTCTAAATGATAGGTTTTTTGTATTTGTATATACCCGGTAGTTAAATAAGTAGGTTGATTTGTACAGAATGAAGAGGATGACATTGCCACACCATATATCAGTGCACTAACTCTACACATATAACCAAGGTTTTAACCTGGCCTCAATTTAGCGGCTATCGAGAATACAGGCCTCTGTTTATGAAGGGCATTGCAGGCATATCATATTTTAAGATTGTCACACCAGCTATTCAGTTTTTTATATTTTTGTAAATTTTCTAGTGTACAATTTCTTTTCCATCTTTTACAGTAAATGAGTGCATAACTCTTACTCCCTGCATGAACGGAGGAACATGTACAGATACCAGTCTTCCACCCGGTTACTCATGCAGCTGTGTAGCAGAATTCACAGGACCAACTTGTGAAGAAGGTATATGCTTCAGACTTTGTCATTGTCACCTCTTTTTAAGAAAGAGAGGTATACTAGGTGATGTTCCCATCTGTGTGATTAATATGGATGAGCCCAGGTACTATGCTTCCTGTAACTGTGTCAGAGCATTTATGCAGTATGCTTATTTTCTATGACTATAAAGCAAATGCCAACTTGTCATAACGTGTCATATTTAAAGATTGTCACACCTGCTATGCTAACTAATTCAGTTTCTCATTTTTGTAAATTTTCTATTGCACACTTTCTTTTCTATCTTTTACAGAAAATGAGTGCATAACTCTTACTCCCTGCGTGAATGGAGGGGCATGCACAGAAAGTATGGGTTCAGAAACTACAGATACCAGTGATATCGGTTACTCATGCAGCTGTGTAGCAGGATACACAGGAATAAATTGTGAAATAGGTATATGCTTCAAACTTTTTCATTGTCGCCTCTTCTTATAAAAAGAAATGTAAAAGAAA